GGCTTGTTTAGTATTGATATTTAGACTAGAGGTGTTCATGAATCGGATTCTAATCAGATTCATACTTGATATTAATAATTTATATGATTGTTTAGGTCAAAATTTCAAACTTCAAATTTTTTTTAAGTTTGGCCTAAATTAAAAAAATAAATCTTAAGCTTATTTATTAAACTTAATTTATATAATAAAAAATTAAAAAGTATGATTAAATTAAGTTTAATGGAATTAGATTTAATTTATATATATAAATAAAAATAAAAATGATATATAAATTAAAATAAAAATTATATAAATAAAATTATGTAATAAAATATATCAATTTTATTTTTATTTATATATATGAATTAATTTATATATAATTTACATATATATAAAATAAAAAATTTATTTATGTAAATTTAGATTTGGTCAGTTAAGTTTTAAATTTTTTATAAAAAATTCGATCCAAAATTTAAGCGAATATAAAAATTATACCTAAATTCATTTAATAAACTTTAATTTTTATCTAAACTTTTTCAAAAATTAAATAACTTCTAAATGTAGACGAATTACAATTCAAATATAGACCTTCTACCTTAACAATAATTTGTAGATCTCGTAGCATGTTGTGACGTAGAGAGCAAAAGACAGCAGCATGTGATAGTGCCACGTGGACTTAAATATTTTACTCGTGCATGACAATCGTTGCACGCACGATGTGACTTGGAAAACTTATTAAAAATGATGACCAGATGGACAATTGAAAGCGATGCTTGCATGTGAAAATTTTAACTAAAAATTGTTATATTAACATCATTAAAAATAAAAAAGAAGAAACAAACAAAATTTATTTGATCAAACATAAGGTTAAAAATAAATAAAGAAATAAAAAATATTTCATTGTGACCCTATGCCATGTGGTTGCTCAATAAAATGACACAACGTGGGACGGAGTTTCAAATTGAATTTTCAATCCGCAGAATGATGATATTTTATCGTGAAAAGAATGTAATTAGAGATAGATAAGATGATTTGTATATTTATATCATGTAAAATAATAAAATTTATATATTTATATAATATTTTATATAAAAATTTCGTGTTATAATTCATGTCGATACAAAAATATAAAATATAATTTTTTTATTTTAATAAATTTATATATAATTATTGTTATAATTTTAAAACGTATCATTTTTGTATCATATTTTTATATCGTATTCATGTTATGTCAACATGTCGTGTTAGAATGTTGAGTTTATTTGAGAGTGCCTTGGCCAATTTGGAGATATTTTCATTTTCATTTTTGAATTTTGTTATTTTTTTTTACAAGAAACATCATAGTTTAAAAATAAAAATTACAAATATTAAAATTTTAACTCAAAATATGTTGATATTATCTCTTAAACATAATTATATAAATTAACTTATTTAAGGTTGGAATTCGGGTTTTATCATTCTAAAGGTATATATATCAATTAAAAATGGTGTAGTTTTGAAGTGTGGCATCCCACACCTTTTTAAGTTCAATGGGATACAACTTTCAATGGTGGGAAACAATGTATCTTTCAAATGAAATTGAAGCATACTTCCTCACATATTTATGGCTTTATTATTGTTTTGGCTATTTCCTACCCAAATTAAATGCTTAAAATTCATAATTGATTGGCCACTAATTTGTATGCTTCTACTTCTAGTATACAAAACATACATGGGTTTTCTTTCCATTCTATTATTCATGTTATATTTAAGAATTATTAAATGAATTATCTTACTTTAATGAAAAATATTGACATTTAATTTTGGAGGGACCAAGTTATACATATTTTTATTTTTTATTTGCTATGCTATTTGAATTCGGAAGAGAATGGCATATTTGACTGTTTAATGCAAATATGCTCTTTTTAAAAATTTTTTTTTTATGTAATTGGACCGTTCAACATTTATATTTATATTCATGGCTTATGTTTTGAATATGGATACTTCAAAGAAAATGAAAAGTCCGAAAATTTAAAATAATTTATTTCAGATTTTATCAGCAGGAAAAAATTTTGAAAACAATCACAAAGATACGAGAAAATAAGCGTTCGGCTAAAAGGAAAAATTATACACTTTTAGTCCTCAGTTGAATATTTGAAACTTTGTTGAAAAAACTACCAAGTTAATTAATTTATTTTTTTAATTGTATATGAGTGTAATTTAATATTTGTGACAAGTTCATTGCTTTTAAGGGTTTGTGAATAATAGGTACAATAAATAAACAAACTATAATATGATTTTATTTTATTTTTAATTACAATGCATAAATTAAGTTAAAGATTAAAAATAAAATTAATAAATAATAATTTTAACACAAGTCAATTTAATTTAATTTAAAAGAAATAATTGTAATATATATATATATATATATATATATATATAGTCTAGTTAATTCAAAATGTTTAGGAAGTCAAGCCCCTCCGGGCCATGCTTATGATCCGCTATTGTCTAAATTAAATTCTAATTCAAAGATTCATGAATTGACAACTTGTTAATGTTAGCTTGAGAATTCAAAATTTAAGATTGCTGAATTGACAATTTGTTAATGTTAGCTTGGGAATTCAAATTTTAAGATTGCAAGATATTTGACTAATAGTTATAATTATCGGAGTAATTATCGTTCAGTTATTCGACCAAACTTTGAAATGTCTTACAATGGTCATTAGAAAGAATACGGAAATTAGCCCATTGCCTAGGAATAATAGCCCATTGGACTTTAATCGTGAGCATAAAAAATTTTCCTTGGATCTATTGGGTTTTTTTTTTTTTTTTTCTTCAAAATTTTTAAAAGAAAAAAATGGAAACAAAGCAAATGGATGGAAAAAGGAATTATATACTTAAAAAATTCTGTTCCAACAAGTTTTTTTTTATATAATTTGTATATCCTTGAGAAAGAGGGGGATAATTCTTTTCTTTTTTTTTTTTTTGTAAAGCTGAATTTTTCATTTTGAGAATAATCAATAAAGTCCTCAAAAACATATTTTTCTCTAATATATAAAAAAATTTCATTTAGATTTGACGATTCATGTATTTTTATTATATAAAATATTAAAATTTATGTATTCATATTGTATTTTTGACAAAAATATAGGTCACAATTCTTGTATATATAAAAATATGAAATGTGTTTTTTTAATTTTGTTAAACATATATATAATTATTAAAATTTTAAAACTATATCACTTTAATGTCCTTTATTTATAATGTATTCATATCATATTACTGTATTGTATTTTAAATTATTTAATCTAATTTCACTATATTTTAGGGGACAATAAACTCTATTATTTTGCCACTCTATTTGCAATAATTTCTTATCTTTCATTGTTAGGGTTTGAAAAGCAAAACAGACATGCTTAAATTTTTATTTTTTTTATTTTTAAGGAAATTAGTATAAATATAATATGAACCGTTTATTTTCATTTATGTTATTCATCATTTCAGTACCAAACATTAAATATCTTTTTCAAAATCCAATCTTATATTTGGTTAAGGATTCAATTAACAGGTGTTTATAAATACTGTTTAAAGATAGTTAAAATATTATTTTAATTTTTTTACTTTTAATGCATTCTTTTCATAAAATTCAAGATCATACAATGCATTAATAATATATTTCTTTCACCAAATATCAATTTAACCTATGTCAATAGATGCTAATTTAACATTTTCTTTTAATTAATTACACCCACCAAATCAATAAAAAAAAATGTTGAATGATCAATGAGATATATGATAAGATATTATTGTTACATGTGTCATCAAGTCCAAATGAATTGATCTCTTTAATGGTTTTATTTTCTGATAAGAATGAAACCATCAATGCATGTGGCAAACATGTGAAAGAAAGAAATAAAGACTGGAAAATATTAATGCAAATAATTCTGCAAACTAATAAGAATTCTTTTAAATTTATTAAACTCTAGTTTGATAATTTAATTTTCAATGAAAAAAAAAACCAAAGGAGTGAAATACTTATTAATATTAATGTCGTGATGTTTCATAACTGTGATTTGATGTTTTTCACATGGTTGTAGCCACGTGACATACTTGTCCTTAAGAGGACAACAGTGCAGTGAATGTGAAAATACTTGTCAATACCTTCCTAAACCTAACCTAAGGAGAGAGATGACAAGTAAAGGATTAGCAGTTTGGCAAGAATCTTTTTCTTTTTCCAACAATTTTGGAAAGGAACTTTGTGATTTTTTGTCATGGAAATTGTGAGAAAATGAATTTGTTATATATATATATATATTACCATTTTTTTAAAGTTATAATTATAATTAAATATTATATTGATATAATTAATTATTTTAATTATTAAATAATCAATCAATAAATTAAAATATAACTATAAAATCAAATTATATAGAGTAAAACTTGAATCTTGGATCTCAATTTTAATCTTTTTTCTTAGCACTAAACCAAAGCTAAAATCAAAACCAAACCTAAAGCCTTGTTGATAATTTATATATGTTTGTCATTTTCATTTAAAAAATATTAAATCTCCCATGATTATATTGTTTAATTACAACAAAAAATAAATATTTACAAAATAATTATTTATAAATTTCATATCATTTTTGAGCAGTTAAGCTTTGATTCATTTGATTATAGAATAAACTAACCCTACTCTTCAAAAATGATTAGAATAATCTTTTGAGGAGATATAATACATTTTTTAATAAATTTTCTGTCAAAGTTCAAATAAAGATTTGCTTGGTTGATTTATTGGTAAAATGTTTAACTTTTATTTTTAATTATCAAAATTCAAATACTGATAGGTTCAAGCATAAAAAAAATATTTATTTGAAAACTTGTTAGACAAAATTTAATTGGCAAACTAATGCATTTTTAGTTCACTGATCTTGAAGTAAATCGTAAAATTAAAGGTTTTGAGTTTAAATCTAATTATAGCAATAAAAAAAAATCAATCAGCAATTACAAAAGTTATACTATTATTTCTATTTAATTGTGCTATAATAGATATCATCATTCATCTTACAGATTTTTCAAATGTGAAACATTAGCCAATGATTATGGCAATAACCACTTTACAGATTATAACAACCCCACCAAAGAATCAAGACAGAGGACTCATATTTTCAATTTCAGCTTGATCGAACTTGAATGGTAGGGGGAAAATAGAAAAAACTATACATGATTTGGTATTTTGACTCAACCTTTCCCTCACAGAGAAACATGAAATTTGTTGTTTTTTTTTCTTGGTCATGGCAATGCCAGGCGTGCTTTCGACAGATCGAGATGATTAAGCCGGCAAGTTCCAAGAAGGGTTTCAGGCAGCTCCTCCTGTGTATTACCCTGAACAAGTAGTTTGGATGACAGGATACAAGCTGATTAAAATCTAGTTTAACATGTTGAATATAGCATTTGCATTCAAAAGCTGTTTTTAAACTAATCTCAATGCTAAACAACAAAAAAAAAATGAATTTTTAATCTAAAAATTTGATTTTCAAACACCCCCCCCCCCCCCCCCCAAAAAAAAAAAACTGCTTTTGTGGTGAAAAAGTGTATTTGGGATAAGAAATCATCAGATATTTTATATATAAATTTTATTAAATATTTCAATTACTCGTAAAACTTTTTCACAGCAATATCAAACACGTAAAGTTTCTAACGGTACTTTTTTAAAATGTCCTTTCAAATGCATTTTTCTCGGCTAAAACATTTTTCAACCTCAATAATAAAGCTAAACTAACTCTAAATCATTCTATTTCTTTTTTTTTTTTTTAAACTCAAGGAAAGTCCACATTTTCAGATAAATTTTGCTGTTAATTTTTCTTTTCATTCACTGGGAAAAGATTGATAATTTGGTAGTCAATTTAGGATGTATCAATGGCCTGCATGCCTATGCATGTAGGAAGAAGTCTTACCTGTATCACAAATGCCATTTCTGCGACCAAGTTGCTAAGATATCCAAGAACAAAATTAGATACACCCCGTGCCACTGTTGAAGAACCAACATCAATTTCAACCTGAAAATTTGAACACATTTGAGTGTTAGCATATGGTAGGACAATAACAAATCAAAGATTCACAAAACAATTTCACTGAGAAAGAACAAAGTGCTTAGCTCAGTTGATTCATGTAGCCACCGTTAAGAGATGGCAACCAACAGGTTTGGGATCAAATTTTAATACCCGTAACCCTTCTTTTGTTCTCCGGTTGTAAAAAAAGAATCACAACCAAAATTATTATAGCAGTGGCATATTACGATCATGGTAAAATGTTTAGCAAGTTAACAAGTAACTTTCCTCTGTTCTAGAGACTTGAATTTATCAAACAAAGAAAAGTTTTAGAGATTTGATACAAGCAAATCAGCATTAGTAATACATATCAGCACCAGTTTCTTACAGAGAGTAAAAGCATTTGCAATAACATATCAGCAAGTATAAACAATAAAACAATCATCAGTTGCAAATTGCAAGTCATACTGTCTTTAGTTTTTAGGATTTTGAAATCTACCTCAAAGTAATTTTTCCCACGAAAATAATGAGCTTCGAGAGCTTTACCCAATAAGCTTGCTTTCTTTCCAACACTTCGCTTGACTATCCATGATCCCTGAAGAGGCAGATTATTAGGCAAAACATAGAGTAAAAAGCATGCAAAGTAGGAAACCTGAAAGGCTGAAAATGCTCAAGTATAGTTTTTATGCTATATATTACACAGTTTCTCACCTTAGAAATGCATGGAATGAGCTTAAATCTTGAGTTCCTATACGCATCATCTCCATTTACAAAGTTGTATAGCAACGGATGATCTTCCAGTGGAGTTTTTATCATGTAATACATTGCTAGGGTATGCATAGGCGATCCCGGAATCTGATTCATAATAGTGGGAGTATGCAATGTAATTGTTGATGAAAACAGTGAAAGTAATTGAAAATATGTAACAATCAAACATACCTGGAAATTAACAATAAAGAAAAATTCTGGTCCACCTTTTGCTGCATATTTCTGCAAGAATATGTTAACCAAGTTAATTTTCTATCTCTGATCTTTTTTTTCTCATATTTAGAAATCGGCACATAATGCACATAATTTAGTTCAAACCTGAACGATACTGCCAAGTCGGCTGCCCAGATCATCTTCTCGTTTGTCAGATATTAGCCAGTCTGCCCCTACCATTTGCATCAAGGTTCCATTTGCCTTAATCTAATACAAAGAATAGAAATTTAGCACACATATTGAAGCACTTCATTAATGAAAGCAATGTAGGACTTAATGCTGCCGTCTTCCTAGTGACAAAAATTCATCTTACATGCATTTTAACAGTCTAATATATCAATTAGACACTCCTTTCTTCACAAAGTTTATCAAGTTACATAGTAAATAGATCATGTAAGGTCTTTGAATTTTTCGTCATGTTAAAACCTAGATTTACTCATTAACATCATGCTTCCTACCGATGAGCAAGAGCCCAATCAGCAAGGCCTTGCTTTAATACTAGAAGACTGGTGCAGCATAGAGTTTCTCCTTCCCTGTGGAGGTAGCAAAGCCAACTTTATGGCTACCTTTCCACCATTTACTTTACACATATGAAAGCAAGAATCTGACTTTACCAGAATATTTATGTATGAACACATGCATACATTGTATTTATGCATGTATATATGTATATATATGCATGTATTATTGTATGCTTATATGTCTGTGTGTCTGTAGTTAATACAATTGAAAAGTTGGAAGGTTTGTGTGAAAGAATGTCAATTAAAAAAGGTTGTGGAAATTTTAGATAACCTGTCTACATTTTGGAAACAAAAATGAAGTGAAAGAATACCTTTTGGTTGTCTTTTAGGTAATTTTTACCACGTATCAAGAACATAGAAGGATCGCTAGTGGACCAACTGCAAGGTAAAGTACAGGTTGGGTCCTTTTGGAGAGAGGTTCCATATGAGTAGACTATGCTGTCTTCCCTAGCCACCTCTCGTAAGTCCATGTAACCCTTCTTTTGAACTGCAGCATGAATAAGGTTCCACACTTGATAACCAGAATATAATAATTTAGAAACAGCTAAGATGCATTCGATCCACCAATTATCTCAAGAACCTTGGCTGGCATAATTGAACTCACTTGCAAGATCATGCAACTTTCTCATTAAACCAGCTCCTGTTGTTAATTTCGACTGCTGCACATTCTGCATGTTTCATTATGAAAAACAATAACAGTTAATAAATTGTAAAAGTCAATAAAAATGGGAAGATCAGGGAAGTCTCCATGATATAAAGCTCCTTTGCCAAGTCACATTTAGCACATGAAGACACAAATTGGTTTTGTAGCACTGATTAAGAATGACATAAGAGGGAGGAGAAAGTCCTTCCTACTTAAAGCTGCTTGAAACAGTTGGGCATGGCAAAAGTTAATTTTAAGAGAAAAATCCTATCTCAGAATTCCAGTGCTAGATTGACCAACCAAGTTTCTTGCCAAATATAACAGGATTTCTAGAATCTAGCTAGTATGAGTATATTTTTTAAGAAGGGTGAGATTTGTAGACATTTGAGGTCATCGAATACCATTGACAGTTACATGGAAATTGCAGGAAAAACAGGCTCCCTATACAGTTTATGCCGCCACTAAACTATCAACTTCAGCTTCCAAATTTTGGTATTTTACAGGGATATATGAATAGTTAGCATAAGGTCAAGTTATTGTGGTTCATATGGAGGTAAATCATTTAAACATAGGCCAAAACCATTGAACTAAGAAGTATAATTACAAAAAGGAAAGAGTAGCCATTACTTCAATGGCCTCTCTTCCTCTCTCCATTTGTGTGCATTATAGCTTTACATTCTTCATTTACATAAGCAGACACTATAATGAAGAAAACAAGCCAAATTCCACATGTTTCAAGTTAGGTAGGCAAATAAAACACTGAACCAAATTCCACATATTTCATAAACAATACTTGCAAAAGCAAGAATTTAATCTTAGAGACTAAGTAAGTACCGGGGGATGCAGTTCTGAACTTAATTCAGTGGACCACTCACTCTCCAAGTGATCATAATCTGTGAATTCAGATGCTTCAGGTACATCAAAGAACTCATCAGGTGCTTCATTCAGGCCCATTAGAGTAACGCGACCAGATGGTGGTTTTTCCAACTCATTCTCAATTAAATTATCCTCCTCAATCTTTATTATCTGCTTTGGACTTTGTGTGCCAATCTTGATATCCTCTATTTCAATTTGAGGTGAGTGTGTATCCCTTGGCCACTCCCTAGACAAGCATTCAGAAGAATAATTTCGTTGTTTGGCTTTGAACAGCTCTCTTAAGGCTGCAAATTATAAGTGCAATAAAACATTTTACACAATATCGATGAAAAAAATATTAGAAATGAAGTTCAACTTTTATTAATGAGAAGTGGAATACCTGCAACTCTCTCAAGCATACGAATTGTCAAGGATCTATCAGCAGATGGGCGGAGATATAAATTCCAGAACTTCCAATCAATAGCAAGCATGTGCTTCACAAGTGACTGTTTTCCCTGGTTCACGGGAGTTATAACATATCCCCCACCTATATATTTTCATAAGCAACCGTTCAAAAGGCAGAACAATATCCAAACCAGATAAGTACAATCATGTTTCAGACCATGGCACTGAGAGAGGAATAATGAAGTGAGCTACGCAAAAAACAAAATGAGTACAGTTTGAAGATTAGTCAAGCAAAAAGAACGGCCACCATAGCAGGCCTTGAAGTCATGTCTATTTCTGTGATTTCTTCCCACCATCCATTTCTATAGTCTGCATCTTTACAAGCATCTTAAAGTTAATGGTGAAACTTCAGGTAAGCAGTCAGGGAATCAGGTGTTTGTCAATCAAATTTATCAACATATATGAATGGGCATAAAATTATAAAAAATTGAGTTCTATATGGAAGTTTGTAGCTTATTATTGAGCATAAATGCAGGAAATGAGAGCCACAAACAACCTTAACTGAAAAGCATCGAATTTTCTATGGATAAACATCATCTGTACAGGCATTCATGATAAAGAAGCAATATATGAGAGACTATGAGGAGTGAGTTTAGTTTATTAACTGGGTCAATTTTGAAGAAGAAATCTCTTTTAAAACTATGTTGCAAACCAAGCAGCACAGATACAGCTTATATTAAAAGAGAAAAACGAAAAGTTAAAAGAAAAGAATTGGCTCCTCCAATTTCCCTTTGCAACGGCTAGATTCTAGCTTTAGCATCATTCATGATTTACCATTGACAAGGACATGAGGATCAAGAAAACCAAGTATCCATATGACATTATAAATGGTGCATTTTTCAAACTATAGATGTGACTTGTGAGTATAACATCCAGTTTGCATTATCCAAAAAAAAAAAAAAATGAAAAAGAAAAAGAATATAATTTATTTGTAAATCTTAAGCAGGGCCAACATATGAAGATCAAAGAAGCTGAACAAGTAAGGGCAGTGAGTAAAGATGATGATTCCCTAGGTTCAATCAGAAAACAAATTCAAATGAAATAGTCAAAGGAGAATGAAATGAACATTTTAAGTTCCCAATCTAAAGCATACATTACTTTTAAGGTGAGCACGGACATAGCCACTTTGAGGTGGACATTTCTTGTGTAACACGGAGTGGTACAGAATTACTGTGACAAGAACAGATATGGAATGTTAGGTTAGAAAATAACATTTCCAAAACTTCATGAGTTTCCCTTGGAATTCAGTACCATATGTGCCATCATCCTCTCTTCTCCAATAGCGTTGAAGTAATAAATCTCTCCGTTTCATTCCCCTGCAACAACTTCTGTAATCAATCCAAAATATAAAATGTGAATTCTGTTCAAAGCAGGTATTAGAATCTAACCAAGGTAGCCAATCACTGTATAACTTCTTGTGAATGATATCTGTATGACCATCAAGGTGCTCAACCACACTGCCATGATAGAGGCAGAAGTCCCATCTGCAAGACATGTTAAAATAAAAAAAAAGGTCTTCCCTTGTGTTTTAAAAAATATCAAGATCCACCAATGACATGAGAAAGCAGGAATAGTTGAATGGAGTAGTTTATTTTTACCTAATTCCTTGGGGGATGTCTGAGGGACAAAAAGGATATATATATATATATATATAGCTTTTCATGATAATGGAACTCCAATGAGAGGTAAATTTGCAGCAATCTTACCCTGATCTTGAGGAGCCAAAAGACATGAGCATACTGAAAATGGCCTCCGAGGTCCCATTCACCGCACCAACAGCCATTATTGCCGGATGATCATCCCAATGCTGAGAACAAGAAGTTTCTTCAGCCAAGTAAAAACAAAAAATATAGATTACAACAATCATGAATAGTGCCCAAAGAGCAATCTACCCCTCCACGCGAATCCCAATCTTTTGCTTCTTTGAAAAGCCGTAACCCTGTATTAACAGCACAATTTGTCAATGATGCATGCATTTATCCACTTGTAATGTGATTAGGACCTTAAATTCTTACCATTTTGACAACCAAATATTTTCCAAGGTGAGGGTGCAATAACATCAGATGTCATTGCCTCTGCATGAACAGATAAGTGAAATGGCCGATTGCCCGAGTTCTTGCTGCGTTTTGTCTTTGTACTACCCAATCTGTTGGTACGGGAATAGGCTATTTAAACTATATACATACTAACAAACTAAACAAGGCAAATACAGGGTAATTACATACTTCACACCTGCTGCAAGATAAATTTAACTGTACTTACTAGTCCATTAAAAGTTATAACATATTTCAAAACATAAAAACCAGAAAAATCCATGATCTTAAATGAATTTGTTGCCGCATCATTCAGGATACCAAACAAAAATACATGTTATAACAAACAACAATACGCATACGTGCTAACGGTTTGAACTTGTTTCTGCTTCAAAAAGTAGGAATCAATTCTGTCTATATAAAGTTTAGTCATTTGAAAAATAAACATTTTGACATTTTCTTAGACCTAAAACTCAAAAGATACTGTAATTAAATAAGGAGATTATCAACTATTATTACCTCAGAGATGGCCATCTCTTCTTAGGAGAACCTACAAAATTCTTTGCTTGACGTGGAGACTCCTGAAAAGAAGTTATAAAACATAAGGCTTTCATCGTGAGGATAACCATTAAAATCACTGACTGTAAGTTAATAGCGTTAAACCTTTAATGCAGCATCCTTCAAGCAATGAATCCATCTCGCTGCTTCCTCTGAACTACTTGCTCCTAGCTGTATAGTTTAAATATTAGAATGGCTTGCTTGCTAATAATTTTGATATCAAAATAAATAAAACTGTTTACACACCTTAAGCTGATCATTATTATCTGAAGTGCTGCAAAGGGTGAAAATGAAGAAGACCTGAATGTGGTAAACACTTCATAAGCATTAAATATTGATGTTGCAGCACTAAAAAGAAATATACATTGGACAAAAACTAGGGATTTAATAATTACACCTTTTTGCTAATGTTCTCCCTTCCATTGTCTGTAACCCGAATGCATGAATCTATTATGGCACTTCTAACAGGCTCCTGCAAAAGAAGAGTTTTCAATAGTCTGTAACTTAATTAATTTTACACAAATATCCTAGCTGAAATTGCCAAATTACGAATAATCACACTTTGATTCAGCTGGTATTAGAAATTAGCTGGGACTGATATAGGTTGATTTCTTGTATTTCAGTTACAGAGGTCTACTTAATCTAGATAGAAAGGTATTTCTATGTGATTATGGAAAAAAAAAAATGTTTGCGAGTGATACTTGAAATCAAGAATTAATCATTTCACATATGTTACTTGCAGTCTTTCCATCCCTTCATCCTTCAAAAGCATCCTTTGCAATAGAACTCCCTACACACTTCATCCTCACGCTTTTTTCTTATCTTCAATCATATATGCTATGTTATAGCATTCCATATTTATCAGACTTCTACTTGTATGCTTTCCTGTTTGATTTTGGATGGTAAAGTTTTCATGATGGGAGCAATATTCGCCAGCAAGCCTCTTCCTACTACTCATCCATGAACTGAAAGTAGTTGTTAGTTGGTGCAAACCAAGGTCTGACTTTCTGGCCAACTAAGTTCCTGAGATGAAGCTAAGGTTCTATGCATGCAAGGCCTGAAAACATCAAATCTCAGTGGCACTTATTAAGCTATTAAATTGGAAGACGACTGCTAGCCATGTATAGCGCTTAATCCATGGAAATTGAGCCATCTATCTGACATTAAGTCCCTCCAGACCTATATCCATTATACTGATGTCAATACTATTATAACTCTGTAGGATTCCTTAAAGCCTTCAGCAGAATTTCAAAAGATTGAAAAAAAAGGTCCCTAAATTGGCTCAATACAGTTATCTTTTATAAACTCATAGTTCCTCGTACTTATTATTACTCTGTAAATGGTTGGTTTTACTGCTTGTCGTCAAGAGACCAGCCATGAGGATTGGATTCATTATCCTTTTTTTTTTTTTTAATTCAGAGTGAATTGTAAATAGACAAAATCATTAAACAAAAAATAGGCTAAACCACTCAAACAAAGTTGAAATAATATCATATATATATATATATGAATGTAAGTATGTACGTATGAATGTATGTATGCATGTATGCGTGTATTGAATGCATAAAATGATCAAATAGACATACATTGGCCTCATTAAAAAAAAAAAAAAACATAATTTTCATCAAACCAAGAACATGTCAAATCCTCACCAAAAAAAATTCATAACATTTTTACACTCTGCAAACTGAGTTCTTTCCAAAACACATCAAAATCCATAATTCAACCAAAAAAAAAAAAAAGAAAAGAAAACAAAGAAGAGAAAGATAAAAAAGAGAGAGAAAAAGAAGGCTACCTCTTTCTCAGAAATGGGGATTACTCTATAGCTCTCGAGAACATTGTTACGAAGAATGAAGTAACGTTTGCGTGAGAATTGTAAACCAAAACGATTGGAACGTATTGTATGTAACCAACCTTCCATTTTAGCTTCATTCTGAGAGATACCCATTTCTTTGAATCATTCAAAAACCAAACTTTTGCTCTTCCTTCTTTATTATATCTTTGATCCTTCCCGTATTCTTCCTTCCCAAAGAAGTTGTTTTTCTTCTTCTTATAAAGTCTTCAACTTCAATGACAAGCATTTATTGTACGAGTATGATTTTTATCTTTTTTGGGTTTTGAATGAAGATTTTGAGGAAAAAAAAGTTGATCCTCTGATCCCAACTAAGGGGTTCAGAGAATCAAATTGAGGGAAAACCAGTGTGCTTTCAAATTTGCCCAGGAACTAACTTTTTTTTTCCTTTTCTTTTGAGTTTTCTCTTCAAACTCCTTTTCTTTTTTTTCTATTTTTTTGCTTCTTGTTTATAAGAAGTGGTAACCATTTTTGGATGCCTACACATTATCTTTATGTGTTAAATTACTAAGTTGCCCTTTAATTTTAAGAAAATCTTATTTTGATAATAAATTATTAAATATCTTTATTTAAAATCTTATTAAAATTTAATGTAATCTTCTTTAACAAACATTTTAAAAATTTATGGTGTTGGAAAGAACTTCGGCCGTTTTATCAAATTGTAAGTGTCATTTTCTAATTGAATTTTTAAAAATTTGATTAAAATAATATTTACAATACAATAAAAATCTTTTTCATCACGTATTTAAATGAAATATTAGAAGTATTATTATGGTGAATTCACATCATAAAACATTTGTTCTAATTTTAAGTTTATCTTAATTTAATATATGTTTTATATTTATTAGAATTTCTTTTTTTATATCATTTTAATTCCACGTGTTATCTTAGGAGATGATTCAATCATGCTATGCTCTTGAATCATTTGATTCCAATTTTACTTTAAAAAAAAAAGAAATTTGTAAAATTATAATTTTGGTTTTACTCATTTAGATAAAAGAAAAAAAGCAAGAAATGAAAGACTATAAAAGGGTAACATGGAAATTTCAAGAAAGAAATTCAAAGTTTTGGTTCAATTTCTATATTGATTTGGACACATTGTCGAAGGTTACATTGGGTTGTTAAGACTTAATTACTATTGATAAATGGGTGAAAATGATTGCTATCCATCTTCGTTGCAAATCTTTATTAATTAATGCATTATTTTTTTGGTCAATCATCGTATTTAATATAAGAATAATACTATAGTTCTATAAATAATTATTTAAAATAATTTTAGAAAAAAATTTATGCAATTCAAGTAATGATTATTTTTTATTATGTAATATGCATATATTCAAAAGAAATTAAATTTTAATTTTAATTTAATTAACTTATATAATATTTTTAAGAAGTAATATTTAATAAATTTAAATTTAAAAATATTTATGATTTTTTATATAAAAATTAAATTTTTTATTAAAAATTAGTAATAGCATTTATTATACAATTAATTATTTAATAAATTGAACCATGTGTTTTGTCTTTTCATTAGTTTGGACGGAAGTGGACAAGTAACTGTCAAATCCATGCGACCCAAAGAAACGACATATTACTTTTTGTTCAAAAAAAAAAAAAAAAACACACTGGCAGTGAACGCATCCAAGTGGATGGTCTTCAATCTTTTTTATTCCTTAGCCCTTTCCGAACATTGCAAAAATTAAAGTTTTTCTGTCTTTTCCTCGTGTAATTAGCAACACAATTAAATAAAAAATATTTTCTTTTTTTTTTTATTTAGATTTGACAACGAATAAATTATCAAAACAAAATAAATACAAAAATATTTTTTGAGTAAATAGCATGTGTAATTTTTAAAATTTTAAAAATTTAAATTAAATTTTTAATTATTTAAAGTATATTAATATAGTTTTTTTTATTTACTAAACCGTCTAAATAGACAAAAAATCTATCATGACATAATACATATCCTTACAAAGTTGTATTATATATAAGGTTAATATTTTATCCTTAATTTTAAACAAAAGAATTTTTGGCCAAAAAAGAAATCCAAAATCATTCATACTATAATTGATAAGTAATTATATTTGATAATTAACCATTAGTTAAACTAGTTTGTAAAAAATTAAAGTATTGTAAAAAAAAGATCTGACAGCAAAAATCTTCAGAGTTTGGTGGTTCTTCTAGGTTTTACAAAAAAAAAAAAAGAGGCCAAAATCGTTGAGATTTAGGTTATAGTTAGGTCTTCGTCGATAAAGAGAATAGGAGATTCGAAAGAAGTTTTTGGTATAAACACGAAGATGAACGGTGATCACTAGTGAGATCAAAGGTCAGCAACAAAAGCAGTGGATGGTTTCGTGGTGATAGGCTTTAGCTTTTGGGTTAATATTGTTGATATTGATTGGGCTTAAAAAAAAAAAAAAGGGAATTTAGAGAGAGGTTGGATAGGGAAAGTAAGTTTAAAATGAAAGTTAGAAGCTACTAACTTTGAAGTTTTTTCACTCGATGCAAAAGGTACTGTTTAGAGTTAAAGAGAAGGAAGGGGTCACACCCATGTGAAAGGCCTATAATATATCTATTCTTGATTGTAAGTTATATGTATGTCATATTAAATTTTTCATCAATTGTAGATGATATAGTAGACAAAATGACTATAATGATACATATTTAGATAATTAAAGACTCAATCAGAATTTTTTAAAGTTTATAAATTACGCGTGCTATTAACTATTTTCTTTAAGTTAGAGTTGATTTTTGAAGGTTGAAATTGAAAGTTTGAAGAATATATACATGTAATTATTTTAATTAAGTATAAAGATAAAAAAATTTATCAGTAAATTAAAATTTCAAAAAACAATTAAAAATAAAAAATGATCCAATTAATTTAAGTGCCTCATTTTACTTATATTCTTAGTAATTAATCAAAATAAAATACTAAATTATTCAATAAGAACTAAGTAGTGAGATTAATTTGTGTTTATTAAGAACAATTACTTTTAATGTTGAAAAATAAGTTTGAAAGAAATTAAATATTCATCTTAGAAAAAGTAAAATGCTAATAGTTTATCAATAATCGTGTAATTTTAACAAAATATTAAATTTTAATTTTAGTGATTAAAATTTAATTTTTGACAATTTCAATTCTACAAAATATTAATAATTTAGTTAATTTAAAAAATATAAGATAAAATGAGTTTCACTTTTTTACGTAAGAAGTAATAACAATCTATAAAATTAATAAATCCGAACACCTTACATATATTTTTAATAAACATCTTATATTAAGAAACCAAATGTTGTTAACATATAAACTTAATCATAATTTCATCAATCGAAATAAAATATAAATGAAAACAGTTAGATTTAAAGCAAGTAAGACAACACATATTTACTTGACTATCAATTAAAAAATTTAATAACTAGCGACAGCGATTAGAAATATAATTATAAGTGATGTTTAGCAATAAGCAAGTGTGGTATATTAAAACAAAAACATAAATTAAACTTAATGTTTCTAAATGATGGCATTAGTCAATGTATAAACAAAAAAAAATAATATTATGAATGATCTATAAATTATAATAAAATATTTATATGCTATTTGAATTGTAAAAATTTTTAACGTGATATCTTTAATATAATATTTGAATTATATTTATTAATTAATATGATACTTATCTATAATGTGATTGATTTAAAATGATAATAAGTGATGGACAAATCATTTTTCAAGCACCACATTAGTTAAAGATTTATACATAGTTAAAACACTATGTTAGAGATTTTAAACTTCAAATATCATATTAAATATTTTATTATAATTCAAAAATTATTTGCAATTAAACCTAATAATTTTACACAAGATATGAAAACGATATGAAAAATATCGTGTATGAGTTTAGTGTAATTGTGTTTCGTGTATTAATCGTATCAACACGGTTAAGACACGATATTATTAGTGTCAAATAGTAACGACACGTTTAAGACACAGTACTGTTCATAACATAAAAAAATTTTAAATTTTATTTTAATTTATTTAAAAAATAAATTAATAATCGTATTTATTAATTATTTTGGTTTTTAAATAGATTATACATTTTTATTTTTAAATAATTTTTGTTTAAATACTAATTTAAATAATGTTTTTTGTTTAAATAAATAGATTAATCATATCTAATAATTTATTCGTATATAATCATGTTAATTATGTCATATCTTGTTTTGTTATTTGGGTAATTAATCATATCTAATAGTGTTATTTGTATGTAAATGTGTCAATCATGTCGAACTGTGTTGTGTTAATTGGGTATAAATTAAATTTAAATGTATTAATCGTATTATGTCATGTGCAACATGTATAATAAATTTGTCAGATTCATATTTAAATTATTCATAACATTTATGTATTCATATCGTATTTATTTCAAAATTATTCATGTCGTATCTAAAATCATTTAACCCGACACATGTCTAATTAATTATAGTTGGCAATTCGTTAATTGCCAAAGGGGCAATTAATTATAGTTTCTTAAATTTCAAGTTTTATGGATTCATACATGTTTGCTTTCTAAAACCAACTCTAATAGTATGTTAGGCTTTACCCCACAGCTGACCCCATTCCAATTTATTCATCAATGTTCTTGAATCCTTTTTATGCTTCTCAAGATTTGGAACTAAAATAAAAAAAAAAAAAATTATGGGATAGTATTAGATGGATGTAGATCTATCCACTGACCAAATAAATTGGAATAATTTTAAATTAAAATAAATTTAAATTTGAATTGCTTAGAATTATAGTAGCTTAAACACAATTATCAATTTTGAACCATTTCTTTATAAAAGAGATCGTAAGTTTATAATATAAAAATACTATAAAAAACTATCGATATTAATATTTAAAATTTAAATCTGTTGAATGTTAAAAGTAACTTATAAATCAACTGTTCAAGTTCGGATGAATTTTACTAACCCTAATTCCACCAAAGGAATAAGATAGAGGAATGTGTGAAGAGCAAGGGGTAGACTTCAAGATACTAGTGGCAAAGTGCACAACTAAATCATTTATTTATCAAATAATTTAGCCCATGATAAATTAATCAGAGAAAATGGAAACTGCCCATTTCTCACTGAAGATAGCAACCAAATTTAATGTCTAAATTATTAGATTTGTGAATTTAAAAGAGTGACACAAGTTAAATTTTAATAAAAATTATATATAAATTTATAAAAATAAAAAATTTATATTTTTTATATCGATATAATTATATTATATAATTTTTATATAAAATATAATTAAAATATATAAATTATTAATATTTTATGCGATATAAATATATAAATTATTACATCTACAAATTACAACTCCACATTGAATTGAATCAATAATGTAATTAGTAGAATCACATGCTTTCAAAGTAGGATTTTGTATAAATGTTTTTCCTCTTTGCAATCTGCATTAGCATTTATAAAACTAGGTTGGTTTTTGGCACATCAAATCAGGGAGCGGTTGGAGCTTAGGATCAAGTAAACCCCAAAATCTAACATCAATTTTATTATTATTTTTTTTCATTTGGTTGTATGATATTAAATTATAAAATGAACAGATGTCATACCAAGCACATGACATCTTATAAACTTTCTTGTTGAAGTATCAAATTTTAACCTTGATAATTTCTTTAAAAACATAAATTTTTTTATATAAAAGAAATTATAATTTGAGAATAAAAAAATTGTGTTAAATTTAATTTAAAATTTATTAAACACTAAATTTTAAAAATAATTAAATGAATGAATTAAATTAAATTTTAAATTTATAAATTTATAAATTTTTTCCTTATATTAAATTTATAAATGATATTATCTTTTGAAATTGTCTGAGACTGCAAATCTTAATTATTTGGATAGGGTTTGGAGGAGACGGGCTTTAAATCTTCGGTTATAAATACCACCAACCTTGATTAATCGGTCGGTTCCCAACCACTTCTTCCAAGTCGTGAGTAGATGAGAAATTAAAAGAGCCAGTTGGGGATGTGGAAGACTTGCCTCCACCCCCCCCCCCCCCCCCCCCACCATAAAAATCAAAGGCATCTATGATTCTTTGTCCCAAATAATATCCATTTTTCCCTCTGCCCTTTTATTTTTTATTTTTTATTTTTAAGACATGAGAATTGATAGAAAAATGAGATAAAATGAAAGGGACAGCACTAAAACTCCAAAAATATATTTGGATGATTTAAATAATAAATATTTAAAAATATTATTTTAAAAATTCTATCAATTGAATATTGTTCATAGTATAATTTCAATAAAATAAAAATTCATAATCTTAATTTCATATAATAAAAAATTAAAAGTTTGTTTGCATTTTAAAATAAAATTCAAGAGCTTATTTAAGTATTAAGCCATTAAGGCAAGATTGAATCTCTGGTCAGGAAAAATGATTTCAGAAATGGGGGTGGGGAGGGAGGGGAAACCAAAATGTCAGAAAAATTGAGCAGGTAGCTCACTGTTGAAACTTGAAACAATTCCATTCTGAAACAAGAGCTTTAACAACAAAATTTCTAACTGCAATCTATTATCATCAGCGAAAATTTCAGAAATTTAGTACACAAAATAGTTACTAACAATGTCCTAGCTCCAGAATTGGTGTATGTTCTAATCAAGATAAAGTGGCATCATTGGAACCTGTCAAGTGACAGATCGCTAATTTTCCATTGTGAATAACGCCATGTTTCACTTACGTATGGAAAGATCGATGTGTAGGTAAGCGACACAAGCCACGAAAAACAAGAAGAATGCGGATGCCAACATCATAGGCTCTGCAAGCATGAAGATAGGCTTGAAGGTGTAGTAAACCTGCCAAGAGGGGGAAACAAAAAGAAATGAGATTGAAGAACATCTTGTTCCACCAACTACAATGGACACAGGTTTCATATTATTCATGTCTCATTGCAAGGACATAGATAACAAGTTTAAGATAATGGCATTACGTTCGAGAGAACTGATCAGTTATATAACTGAAGATTTGTTTACAGAAAGAACCACATTTTAATGGTTAGCATCACTTGGCTTGTCGCCTGGGTTTGACCAAATTTTTAACCTCAAACAGTCCAATAACAAACACATTAAAGTGCATGAATCAACTACTCACAGCCAATCCAAATCTAGTACATATAGTTTAATAAGAATGAAAATAAAGTATCTTCCCAAAATTCCCCAGAAACTGTAGCAAAGAAAAGGTTTTAGCCAGAATAGTTGCATCAAGTAATGAATCCAATAAAGCACAAGCAACACAAGTGATTGTTCCGATAGAAGACAATCTCTAGCATCTTGATCTTATCCTAGGATTTGACTCCATATCTTTGATAAATTGGTAGAGTCTAAGAAGTAAAGAAGTAAAAGATAGCAGTCAATAACTGGCACTCTTAATTATATGCCTCCTCTTGTTATACGTGTTCTCCTGCAATGGTTGGATTAATTAGGGCAGAGCCGAACAGCCCTCCAGAAAAGTACTTATGTATTTCAATCATCATCACTTGAAGGTTTCAGTTAGCATAGTGATCTATACACCCATGTATAACATCCTGAGGAGATGACTCATTATGGACAACAACACCCATGTATAAAATCCTGAGGAGACGGACTCATTATGGACAACAATAAAATTGATACCAATGCAAAAACGCATAAAGCAAGTAGAAGAGGTCACAAATTACCTGAAAATGAGTGTTGTGCACGGGAACAACATTTTTCTTTTCCAAGACCACCACAGTTCTCCCCACAACATCAAGGTAAGAATATTTGGTCTGCAAGATTCAAATGGAGCACATCTCAGTTGACATAGAAAACAAAGTCTTGAGCAACTGTATGCATAAAAGCAAAGCCTTCATATTGTAGGAGAACTTTTTTTGATGTACTACTTCAAAGCAGTCCCATAATTTTATAAAAAGAAATACTGATATCATCTTCATTGTTAATAGGCACAATATATACATATACATATACATATACATATACATATATATATATATATATATAAACACATATATACATATAAGCAACAAAAACTGCTTTTGCATGGGCACTAAATTATGCAAATGAGCAAGAGATAGAGATTACTATATTGGGAATAACTACCTCAAGATGCTGCTCGACAGGAAAGGGAACCACAGCTGAAGGGTCTTTTGATCCCTCGGGTAGCACAACCTGAAGAATAACATATTAGTTCCAGTCATAGTAAATTTATATTCCACCATTTTGGACAAAAGGATTAAAGAAACAACTATAAAAAATTAGACTTAAACAATATGAGTCCAAGGTCGTTATACTAAACTTACTTTGAAGGTTAACTTGTCAACCACTGTCTCAAGAAGGGGGCATCCAAAGGTAAAGTTGAGGTATCGCTTGTCATTGGATGACTCAAAAAGAAAGTCTTGTAATGGTAGCCCATAACCAATGACAAAAGTTGCTTTCCAACCTCCAAATAAAGGATATCGTGGTTCAATTTCCAGCTCTGACTGTAAGAACACAAATTTAGTCAATGTACACGAAGTCAAAAACAGCATTGATAGAAGCATATAAAAAACACTCATAAAACCTTTCATATTATGCTAACCTTTGCCTAAATTGGAAAAATGACAAAGGCTGCACTAAGGCGTAAATGCATAATCACTAAATTGGGAAAACCTTGTTGTATATTAACAAAATATAACTAAACCAGAACAATAAAAACAACTTGCATTTAAAACACAAGATGCAATGGACCTCTTTCCATTCTAAATGCATATTATTCTATTAGAAATCAATGTGGAAATGGAATAATACCCATCTTTCCAAAAAAGCATGTTCCCTCTTTCTTTCAAATAGAAAGTTACATGCTGCTTAGGAGAATTACAATACAAGGGTTTTAAACATCTATCTGGTCACACATCCAACAAACAGGAAAAAAAAAGTACTTATTTTTAGGAGTAACTTATAAATCACAAAAATTCCAGAGTTCACTAGGCAAGTGATTTGATTGTTCAAAAACAACTTTTTGCAGCAAGGAAGAGAGAGAATGGAAGAGAAACACATTTGAATACCTTACGAGAATCTGTACGCAGGTGTGATGACGAGATATTTCCTATTTCATCCCGATAGTAGACAGAATGAACCCTAGGTGGTAGTCTTGCCAGAAGGTATCGGAATGAGGACACACCATTCAAAGATGGCCTGGATTGGTAATCAACCCTGAAAATAGTATGTATTAGAAAGTGACTATTCAAATCAATCTTAAAAAAAGTGCTTCTTTTCTTGATGAACTTTCAAGCTGAATCATAGCAGGCAGTAGCTACTCTACCTTGAAAATACACCTTTGTGCCGGGCACCAGCATGAACCAATGTGTACTGTTCTGTGACCTGAAGGTTGCCCCAATGAGATATTTCAACTTCACGAACAAGCTCCTCAACAACAGCAAATGGGCTATTATTCTCAAAATGTACAAGAATTGGAGAAAAAGAGTATGGAGGACGATCCTCGTAAGGCCCATACTTAATTTCAGTACCAGCACGGTTTGTGGGTTCCACCCTTGTGAATGATTCCACTTTATTACTTGGTGTCTTAATAAAAGTTGTTTGTTGCCTAACATGATACGGCAACAATATTAATGCATTATCACGATAAAATACTAATTGAGATTCTGATTGGGCTATCTCTGCTGGAAAAGGTTCTAGCGAGTGCGTCAACATGTATAATACTTCTAGTGTTGTGCTTTCTCCAGAATTTAAGGGACTGGCCAAATAAATAGTAAAATATTTAGCATCATTAGGTGCATCAGGCAGTTCTGTCGGTTTTACTTCAAGATGGACTAAAGTAGTCTTCTTCCGCTTTCCTTTAGTTGCTAATGCTTCAACTGTTGCTAGATGGTCAACTTGAGCGGGTGGGAAAGCAAGAAGAACTTCTGAAGCAGGCGTACTACCAGCATTCTCAATCTAAAAGAGACACAGACATACACATACATTATATACAATTATTCATAATAAAATACAAGTAAATATTAGATATCTAGATATTAATAATTCAATTCCTCATATTATCAGCACTAATACTTTAAAAATGACTTGAATTTGTTCACCTGTATAAAACCAATAAGAAATTATAGGCTCCATTTTGATGCTACTTTTCCTACTTGATTGTTTAGCTATTTACATCTTGCTTCCTCATAAGTGTCTAAAAAGCAAAATGCTATTTGATTAAAAATGAATAAATACCTAAAAATAATTCATTGAAAAATTATTGTTTCATAAAAAAGTAAAATTTTGCTATTAAAAAAAGTTTAAGTTTTTTAATTTTAATTCTTCAAAAATAAAAGCATCTATTTTATAACTACACTATTTGTTTTTCTTTTACTTTCAATAGTAAAAGGCAAAACCTTTTCTTCTATGATTTAAACAATAATTCATTCATATATATATATATATATATATATATATGAATACGTATTAATTAAAAACTAATAAATTTACAGCAATTAAGAGAGAAATTACCTTCAAAGTCAAGTAAACTTTAACAATGTGGGAGCTCAAGTCAATCTGCATCAATCAAAAACAATATTTAAAAAAGAAAACAAAAAAAGAAAAAAATTCAAATAAATAAGCTCAAAATAAGCCTAAATTAAACAAAAAAGAACAAAATATTAAGATCAAGCATAGATTTTACAATTTTTTTCACGATTGGAGATTTTAAAATATAAGTTCACATATACTCTTACTTAAAATAATTTCCTTAACCGAAAAAATTAGAATTTTTGAATCGCATACCATAATTTCGACAATTTCGAATAAAATTAAGATTAAAAAACGGAAAGATCAAGAAAAAAGAGAGCTTTGGTGCTTACTCGACGCTCGGCGTTGGAGATCAGGAGATGATGTAGAGGTGAGGATTTGCAGATGAAGAATAGAAGAGAGAACAGTGTGAGAGATAGGGTTTCCCTTGATCTGATTGGAGTCTCCATTGCAGTTGACGAGAGACTGAAACACTGCCTTGGGCTACGGCCAAGGTCGAGGGGATTTAGCAGAGAGAGAAATGGTTGGTTGGGTCAACTCTTTTGGGCTATTGGGTTTACTTCTTCTTCTTATTTTTATTTTTTTAATATATTTTGAAGATATGCATATATTAGATAAATATGTATTTATATCATGTAAAATATTAATAATTTATATATTATTTTATACAAAAATTATGTGATATAATTATATTGATATAAAAATATGAAATATATTTTTTTGGTTTTATTAAACCTATTTATGTTAAAATTTTAAACTGTATCATTTTTATATATTTTATTTTAATTATTTTTGTGTTATATCACCATGTTACGTTTGAAATTATTAAATCTTTTAGATCTGATATTTATATATATGAATTTATTTATTTCGTATTAAATACATATAAAATATGAAAATTATTATATCACAATTTATTTTCATACATAAAATACAAAACATATAAATTTAAGAAAAATCATATATTTTATTTTTGATTAATTCATAAATAATTTTATTAAAATTTAAATCATATTATTTTGTATATTTTCTTATATCATATCACCATATGTTATTTAAAATTTTCAAATCTAATATCAATCCTCCGGCATAGGTAATGCCTCAATGAAAATTTAAAATCACTCAACTTTTAAGTTAGAATACATACAAATATACTTAATCTCTTATCCACTGATCTAATCCCTTGTTCATTATCTAACTTTTATAGTTAATGGTTAAATATTTAAAAGGCAATTTTTTTTTCTAATGATGGTGGCAAATGGTTTAATTGAATATTAATAATCCACGATTATGACATCATATCAAATATAAACTAATTTAAAATAAAGGTGTATTTGAATGGATAATGAGATTAAATTTTATGGGATTAAAAAAATTAATTACTTTAATAATGAAATTAAATTCAATGATGAAATATGTATTTAGATGAAAAAATAACAATGGTGATAAGATAATTGTATAACAAAATTGTGCATTAAAGGTATTAGAGTAAAAATTGTATATAATAAATATTTTAACTTATTTAAAATTTATAAAATCAATAAATAATAAAAAATTATTAAATCATTTTTATATTAAATAATAATTTTATTAATAAAAATAATAATATACTAAATAATTTTTTATTATATTAAATTAATAAAATTATTTTATAATTTGTAAATAAAAATTAAAATAACAAAATCAAAACAGAAAGGTAAAAATGTAAAAAAAAAAAAAAAGCTTAGTGGCCAACTGGACCAAAAATGATCAATGACCAACTTTTCTCAATCGTTAAATCTGAATAGCCAATTAATTTTTTATTTAAAACTCAATATACAATTTATAAGATAAATCATCATTTAAATCTACTCTTCAAAATTACTATGTTTTTTTATTTAAAATTATTAGAGATTTTTCATTAAAAATAACTATTAGAGATTTAATCATAATTATTGAAAGGGTTAATGTGTAATTTAGCCTAAAATCTATATTATTTTTCATGATTAATATTCATAGAAAAGAATTCCCTGAGTCACTCCAACTAGAGAATCCCCTCGTTGCAAGCAACACAAGAGATGTAGAATCCAAATAAGACTAGAAAACCATAAAATCAAGTATAAATTAACCTTATTAGTTAAATATTTTCATATTTTTACAGGAACTCATATTATCATCTCTCTGTTTTGCTCTTATTTTATTGTTTTTTCACCCCTCCTGATGCCTTCATTGACCAAGGAAAAAGTTGCCTTCATTGACCAAGGAAAAAGTTGCTACAGACTTCGTCGTGAAGAACTACTGCTTCCACCTCTACCAATCTCCGGAAGATATTCACAAGTTTTATAAAGATTCAAGCACATTAAGCCGGTTGGGACTTGATGGGATCTTGCACCAATGGACCATATCGGAAGCCATGGATGATGCTCTTGTTGTTAGATTTGAAGTAATAAACACAACAACATAAAAGCAATATATCATAATAAATTCATAGTAATAGCTAACAATCAATAATGAATAATATAGAAAAAATTAACTACATCAAGATTATGTGAAAAATCCTACAATGTAAAAAGGAAAAAATCATGGATCATCAGAAAAATCTTCACTATCAAATAATTGATATATAAATTTTTTCTCTAACTAAAACTAGAACTAATCAATAACTAGGAAAAATCTCACCAAATAGGTGACTCAATAAATACACCTTGAATTTGTTCCTAAAGAGTTTTAAACCTGATCTTTATCATTCATAATGTAAAACTTGAATTATAAACCTACTGACAAAATTTAAGCTCAATTGGATCACAAATCGAATTTCATTCAACCAACTCTCCATCTTTTCTTTTCTTTTCTTTATATTTTCTAGCTTTGCTTTTTCTCTCTTCGATGCCTTCTCTCTTTCTCCATTTTTTTAAAACCAAAAACTAGCCCTCACCTTTTATTATGGAGGGCTCTCTTAAGGAAGCCTAAAAACATAAGGCCTATGGCCTTTGAATAGTCGAATAACCTATGGGGCTAGACCCCACATTCCTAACAATCTCTCATTCCAGTCCTATTAAAAGGAGATTCATCATCATAGTAGTTTTATTTAGAATTTACCTTGGCCAAAGAACCCATTTCGATTAAGTTACTGCAGAGCTCAAGCTTCTTCCTGAGAAATGTCTTAGTCAACATATCTACTATATTTTTATCAGTATAGGCTTTCTTCAACAGTATTTACTGTTTTTTAATCATTAAACATAACCGATGATATCTAATATTCTTGTGCTTTGTTCTAAAATGATACATGATATTCTTACTCAAATCTAAAACACTATGGCTATCACAGAACATCATATTCTTTCTAATTCAACCCTAATTCAAGAAAAAAATGTTTCATCCAAAGCATTACTTTACATGCTTTGGTTGCTACAAGATACTCAGCTTTTGTAGTTGACAAAGCAACATACATTTGTAACTTAGATTGTCAAAACACAGCTCCTCATGTAAAAGTGAACAAATATCCTGAAGTAAATTTTTTACTATCAAGATTATCTGTTATGTCAACATCAATAAACCTTTTTAAAATTGATTGTGAAACTCTATAACTAAAGCATATTTTTGAAGTGTCTTTTAAATATCTGAAAATCTATTTCACTACTTTTTAATGAACCTTTTTCTGGATTAGAAAGAAATCTACTCACTACACCAATTACATGAGCAATGTCAGGTCATGTACAAATCATAAGATATATAAAAAAACTGACTGTAAAAGAACAAGAAATACTAGATATAGCTAGTTGCTCTTTCTTAGTCATCGGATAAGATTTTTTACTCAAATGAAAATGATTGGTAAATAGACTACTAATTGATTTAACATGTGCATGTTGAATCTACTAAGCACTCGTTTAACATACTTTTCTTATGATAATCATAGCTTTTCAGCTTTTTTATCTCAGATAATATCCATACCGATAATCTACTTTGCTTGACCTAAATCTTTCATGTCAAAAGGACTTAGACAATTATTCTTTCAATCTGCTAACCATACAATCATCTTGTCCCATAATCAATATATCATTAACATATAATAAGAGAATAATGAAGTTACCATCAGAGAATTTTTTGACATACACATAAGGATCTACTGTCATTCTTTTATAACTATAGCTGACCATAAAAGAATTAAACTTTTTGTACTATTATCATGGAGCTTGTTCAAGCCATACAAGCTTTGCTTTAGTTTGTAAATTAAGTGCTCTTTCCCTTTCACTTTAAAACCCTCAGGTTGATTCATATAGTTACCATGTAAAAATGCGGTTTTGACATTAAGTTGCTCAAATTCAAGATTCAAACAAACTACTAATCTCAGTACCACTTGAATGAAACTCATCTTCACAACTAGAGAAAAGATCTCAACAAAATTGATACCTAGTTTCTGATAAAAACTTTTCACCATCAATCGAGCTTTGTGCTCACTAGCTTGTCATCATTTTTTTTCAACTTGAATACCTATTTATTTTTCAACGGTCTCATTTTTTTTAAAAGTTTAACAAGATCATAAGTATCATTTTTTTACAATAACTTAATCTCTTCTTTCATTGTTTTTGATCAGTGCTCTCTATCCGGAGTAGCTTACATATCTTAGAAGCTCTCTGGCTCCTTCTCACTAGTAATTAAAATAAAATCTGAACTTAAATGCCTAGTAGATGACCTGTGTTCTCTACTAGGTCTCTTAGGTTAAAACTCTACACCACATACTATCGAAGGTAGCTCCTTTTGCTTAACACTTTCAGATAAAGAGAATTGCTCCCCTTGCATAAAATTGATTCATCTGGCTCATCACTAACTGTGACTAGCTCATTCATTTCATCAAGTTCTGTTTCTTGCTTATTTTCACAATCTGTGGCTCTTTCCTGTAGAACTCCTATCAATGTTGAAATATCACATTCAACAGTAACCCATGTAATCTTCTTATTTTTTTCGAGGTCTGTTATAGTTCTTTTTCATAGAATACCACATCTTTGCTTTTGATATATTTCTCTTCACTAGATCCTATACCTTATAGCTAAATTTTCATCACCATATCCTACAAACACACATTGTATGGCTTTACTGTCAAGCTTTGACCTCTACTCTTTCAACACATGTATAAATGCTTTACACCCAAAAACTTTCAAATGAGAGTATGAAGCATCTTTTTCTGTCCACTCTCTTTATGAAATGTCAAAGCCCAAAGGAACTAATGGTGATTTGTTAAGTAAATAACAAGCTATATTGACTGCTTCATCCTAGAATTGCTTTAGTAATTTTACCATCCTTAACATACATTTGACTTTTTTCATAATAGTGCAGTTCATCCTTTCAGCTATATTATTATGCTGTAGTGTTTCAAGTTCTGTCATCTCATACCTAATCTTATACTTTGAACAATACTCTTCAAAGTATTTGGATATATAATTTTCATCATTATCAGTTCAAATACACTTTAAGGGCAATCTTGTCATCCTTTCCATCATGGCATAACATTTTTGAAAATACTATAATACCTGACTTTTATTTTTCAACATATACACCCAAGTCATATGT